CTCTCTTTCTCTCTCCCTCCCTCTCTCTCTCTCCCTCTCTCTCTCTCTCTCTCTCTTTCTCCGACTGCCCCCCCTCTCTCTCTCTCTTTCTCCGACTGTCCCTCTCTCTCTCTCTCTCTTTCTCTCTCTCTCTTTCTCCGACTGTTCCCCTCTCTCTCTCTCTCTCTCTCTCTCTCTTTCTGTTTCTATCTTTACTTCCTCTCTGTTCTATCTCTTTCAGTCTCCCTTTCTCTCTCTCTCTCTCTCTCTCTCTCTCTCTCTCTCTCTCTCTCTCACTCTCTGTACCTCTCTTCTCCGTGTTCTTACTGTTCCAGTTTTTCGAACCGAATGGCAGAACGTTCTGTGAATAAAATTTATCATTTTTTTCGTCACGAGATTCTCTAACAATTAACGCGTCCTGCCCTTTCCGTTGATTTTTTTGAAGTCGCGTTTTGGAAATTTATACTTCCTCTATCGTTTCGAATAAAAAAATTCGGATCAGTTCCATTACGGTCGCGAACTATTACTTTTCGATTGCCTGTGTATGATATCGCAATCCACCTGCCATAATGTGCATCATTTCGGCTTTAATTTGAGCCTTCTTAAAAATACAAAATATCAACGGCGAAGCGTTGAAAGCATTATTTGTTATACCTGTATGAATGATATTTTCCGTCGGTCGCGATGCACTTTTTCGTCGCAAGACAAAATGCAAATTCGGAACGGTGTCGCTTGCTCCGCTCAAACTAGCATTACCGACGCTACACACGCTCGCACACAGACCAATAAGATCCCTAGGGATCTTATATCTGTGACATTGGCATACCCCTACTCTCTACGTAACTTTCGACGCGTCGCTTTGCGTACATTCCACACGAACGCCTCTAACTCTGTCCCCAAAAATCTTCTGTCAATCCGTCGTCCATCGTTCTGGCAGAAACAGTTTATTTCGATAATTAAGTTACTCGAATGCTAAGCGAAAGACAGACGGACGTACTTTCCATTTATCCATTTAGTCGACGATAAATTTATTATTAACTCATTGCTTGTTACTAATTTATTAATCATTTCAATTGGAAAACACGGACTATAGGCCTTCGGAGCTAATAACTATAATTTTACGTTGAATTTAATATTTTAATTTTTCTTCAGAATTGCCATTTCAAAATTCAAGATTTCGGAACAGTTACTATCATAGGAATATCATAGGAGTCTAATTTTAGCGTAATTAATGTTTTTATCGGACTAACTGTCGCATATTTCCGTCATATATTAACGCTGATTAAATAAATATTTGTAATCGTTGGAACACCCGCACTGTACATATTTAGATACAAGCATTCGATGCTGTCTATATTAATTAATTTAATTTAATTGTAACAAGAAACCTATGCTCGTCTACAGTATAACATTTAATACCAAACGACTTATAAAATATTGAATTATTTATTCTTCACCCGATAAAAAGTTGCTACCAGATCTACGATAAAAATTAAACAATATAACACAAATATGTACGTAAGTTCGATATCGTTTGTAGTTGTCTCCGTAATTGTAAGTATTTCGTATCTGTTTCTAGTTCAATTAATTTGGATGCATTTATGCGTATACATTGTGCAAAACACGAATTGACACGATACAAGATTCGTGCAGAAAACTTGTGCGGATTTAACAAGAACAATGAACTGCGCGTGTGATGCGTTTGAATTTGAATTCCTAGAGTAGTGATGTGTAGTAGACACGTGTAGCTTCATTCCGCAGCCGTAGCACGTTCGCGGAGATAGCGCGCGAAATTACGGAAGCGAGTAAAGTGTACGCGACCAACAACAAGCTCTAATGACTATAATTTTACGTTGAATTTAATTTTTTAATTTTTCCTCAGAATTGCCATTTCAAAATCCAAGATTTCGGAACAGTTAATATTGTAGGAATATCGTAGGAGTCTAATTTTGGCGTAATTAATGTTTTTATCATCACTTGCTTGCATAATGCAGGATCATCTAGAAACATTGCTTATAGCAAATTTATGGAATAATAAAATAAACTAAGAGCACACAACAGTTCAGAAGAATCTGCTGTATCGATATCATCAATGAAAACCGAACGACAACAACGCAAAATATAATTAGTTAACCTATAGTTAATCAAACTTCGAAGAGCAATTAATTATGTTTCGCAATGTTGTAATTTGTTTTTATATACGATACCGACACAGTAGATTCTTCTGAACAATTCCGTTCCCTTGGTTTGGTTTTGTATATCCTAATTTTACTTTAATTAATGTTTTTCGGCGGCCCTGCATCGTGCAAACAAATGATAGCGACAGTGGCGCCTCTTTCAGAGAAAGAAGGAAGCTTCGTTTGGGACCCGTACAGCGCCAATTGGGATAGTGGCAAAATGCTCAAACTGTCAGCCGAAATCGACTGTCGGTAATTTGGTGAACAGTTTAAACATTTTGCCACTATCCCAAACGAAGCTTCCTTCTTTCTCTGAAAGAGGCGCCACTGTCGCTATCATTTGTTTGCACAATGCAGGGTCGCCGAAAAACATTAATTATAGTAAAATTGGGGGATAATAAAATCAACAAAGAGCACCGAAGTGATTAGTAAAATTTACTGCATCGATGTAAAATGTAAAAAAACAAATACCATTACATGTAATAGCGCTATTTTTACAGTTTTAGGAACTAATTTGTGTCCCGATTTGACATTGCATCAATGCATGTACAATTTGTATCTTATACCTTATGCCCATAGAAATTGTGCAAACATTGAAATACAAGCATATCAAAGATTCGATAGTAATTTCGCCTCTTTGTATAATAAAATGTCGCAAAAGGCAAGGCGCTCGAATCGTATTTATGCCGACTTCGACTTCAACTAGGACTAACTAGGACGACGACTGCGACCTCAACTACGACTACGACTATTGACTATGTGCTCGGTTGGTCGAGTAGCGTTCGCAACGAAGCAGACAGAAGAGAGGTTAGTTGGAATTGAAACAGGCGACGGAAAAAGGTGATCTTAGTATTATAGTTTGTATTCGCTTTTGATCATATCTGCAAGTACTTAGTGCATTTACCATATCAAATTTAATTGTTTCATAAATCGAGTCAAGCCAGTTTAACATCGGCATTCTGCGTCAACACCAACGTTTCCGTCGCTCTTCTTTTCCGACTTCTTTCTCAGATTATCGTTTGCCACGGATACACCACCATTCAAAATCTATCATAATATAATATTCTGCTAGTTGTCTGTCATGCTTCAATCGATCGTAGTTACTCTTCTTGTCATTGGAATAGCCTCTGCCGAGGACTGCAAAGGATGCGTCTCTTTGGACTCGTATTCTTTCAACAAGGTATCTTTGTTTTTGTTTCTCTTTCTTTCAACAAAGATGCAGATGTTTCGTATGCTTTTTGATTGATTCGATCAACATAATAAACTCGTTGCATATTCTTTCTGCGTCAAAATGGCTAAGAAATTTGTTACCATGGTTACAAGATGCCCAACTAACTTTCGTACACATGCGTGCATACGTACATAAGCATTCATTGTGCACGTGTGCACATAATCTTTAGACTAAAGAGAGTTAGGTTTAGAATATTGAAATGTAAACCGAATACGAAAAACAGTGGGAAACCTACACTTTTCGAAATGGTAATTTTAGCGATCGATTAACACAAATTCATCAAAGAAAATCATTTCGTAACACACTTGGAACAAATAGTATACATTTGTATGATCGACAATAGAAAGATTTGAAAGAGAAATGAAATACAAAATGCAGTGTTTGTACGATCACAGGTAATTCCAAAATTCAAAGCTGCGATAGTAAAATTCGATGTGGCATTTCCGTACGGAGAAAAACACGAGGAATATGGTCAAATAGCCGCCGCCACAAAAGATGCCAATGATCTTTTGGTAGCCGAGGTCAGAGTCAAGGATTATGGGAATAAAGATAACTCTGATCTCGCTGCTCGTTATAAAATCAAACCACAAGAATTCCCGGCGGTTCTACTCTTTCTCCAAGGGAAAACAGAGCCTATCCCTTTCGTCACAGACAAGGAAACTGAATTCAACGCGGATAATATCAAGCGATTCATTAAAACAAAGTCGACCGTATACCTTGGTCTGCCAGGTTGCGTCGAACAATTAGATAGACTTGCGGAAGAATTTAAATCTGGCGGAGAAAAAGAAAGGAAGGTAATGTATTTCAATGATATATATATATATATATAACTCGTTACGTTCTCAAGGAACCATATGATGTTTTTGTGTTGTATGTTTTGTAGGAGATATTGAATAAAGCAAAAGTCTTTGAAGAAACATTACCTGACACGCAACGCACAGCTGCCAAAGTTTACGTTAAAACTATGGAACGAATATTAGAGAAAGGAGACGTATTTGTTCAAACTGAACAAACTAGAATAGAGGGTATCTTGAAGGGTAAACTATCGAATGAGAAAAAACGTACAATGGAAGAGAGACGCAATATCCTGCATTCGTTTTTGCGCAGAGATGAACTGTGAAAAGATACGAACTAACATTGCAAACGCAATAAGATACGATACGACACGACACGATATAATACAAAAATGATATCACGAATTTTGTACGTGCCGTAAATGTTAATTACTATACTGCATTTTAGAGTTCGTTTTCAACTCACTCGAAACATTCCATTATTTTAGTTCGTAATTATATCAGCATGAAAAATTTGAAAAAAAAAAATGCAATTTGAAAATAATAAAATATTTCGAAGTAATATAGGATTCGTAAACGCACTAACACAGGGCGCATTCATAAATGATTACACTCTGTCATTATTTTGTACGTTTCGTACCGAACCACGAATACGCGAAAGAAATTTAACAAGACTGTAATTGAATAATGATTCTTATTCTCCTCACTGTGTAGTTGTTTTTCACACGTAAGTAGTTTCTCGTATTTTCATTTGACTTTGTTTTTCTTTGAAATTATTCTTTGTTTTCCTTTGCTTTTTTAATAGTATAAATGCTAAAACATTCTCCGCTAAAAGATCACAGATAATGTACAAGATTCGTATAAATATTGTCTTACTCGTAAATTCGAAGTTTATTCCATCTGTTTAATAAAATTATTGCTAAAAAGTTGTCCTACGTTAACGTTCGATGCTCAAATATTTAAGCATATGCATGCATGTTAATTATGCCGGAATGTGCATTTTTAATCGACCGCCCATCATTTCACCAAACTGCAACGATCCTTTAAATCTCCTCTGTAGCTTTCACCTGTAACTCTTCGAATTCTTTTGATACTTTTTCTAATTCTTGTTCATTATTTGCTTTTTCAATTTCGCTACGTGGAACTTTTAGATTTTCGTTTCCTGTCTGTTTTTTCCCTTGTTCTTCATTGTCGGTACTTTCACTGTAACTCACATCGCTGGAAGGTTCGCTGTCGCTCTCTGCGTGCTTTTCATCCATTTCATTTTTCCCAGCATATATTTCGCACTCAGAACCTACTATCTTCTTCGCCTTCTCAAACGCTTCCTTCCACACGGATGCATCTTTTGCAAAGAATAACATCAATTATATATATTATCATAGTTATTCTTTTGTAACACATAAATTTATAAGAATGGCAACCATACTTTCCGCGTTTGCGAATCGTATCGCTAGTAGCTCTGGTTTTAATTGTTCGTCTGCGTAATCTGCAAGCACACTCCAGACCCATGCTCTGTCGCTGCCACAGTTTGGTTTCAATTCCATCCAAGGTGTGACAAAATGATTGGCACAGATTTTGTATGTTTTGTCTCTTCGCATTACAACTCGTACAGTATTTTTTATCTTATGCCTTAACAACTTTACTTCTCCCGTTCCACGTTCCTTCCACTCTGCAGGGTTATTGGACGAATCATAGCGGTATAATTTTGCCCGCCTACAAATAAAATATTTTATATATATACTAACTATAACTATATCAAAGAGAGATATTAATCGTTTTCTTTGGATAGTCCAACTTTACATTTTAATCATTTCAACCTCATCCTCTTCATTATTAGACACTTCTATTAAAGGTAAGGAAATTATTGGTTCAAAATGTATATCATTGTCGTTACCATCTTCTTCGTTGTCTTGAGTTTCACAATTAACGCCTTTCGTATCAACGTGGTCCCCATTTAACTGTAAAATAATGTAAAATCAACGGCTGATGCGCCGGTTTAAACGATATTTTGTCAGCAAGAAATACTTGACATTCTCGTTACAAGTTAGCAAAATACTTATCGGAATGATTAAAGTATGCGTTGGAACGTGTCACTGTTTTCTCTGATGCTTAACAAAGGTGAAATACACATTATAATAGACAAAGCAAATACGATTTCAAACTACAATCGTGCTTTGTTTTCATAGGAACGCGGCGATATAACCTACAGCATCGTTTTAAAGTTTCTAAATAAACGATAATAACTGTTTCCCTTTAACGCCTGAGGTAAGGTTAATGTTCAGATACGGAAGAAAATGTATTTACCACGTTTTCTGGCATCTTTTATCAGTTTCAAAAAAGAAATTCTTCGTTCAATTAACAGATACCGCCAACTCCGGTCTATTTGATAGCAAATCGAGATATCGTACGATTTTGGACTTCACCGCATTCATGGTACATGTACACGAAATATATGTACGTATGTGTGCGTACAGTTGCTCGCAAAAGTGATCGAACGCTTGCATTAACAATAGCTAGCATAGAAAATATTGTATATGTAAACTCAAAGCATTTTAAATGATAAACATATGTATAATATTCATAGCTAGAGAATATATAGTCCAAAAATCATATTGATCAAACTAGAAAGTCAATGTGTACATTGTATTTACATTTGTAATTGTAATAGCTTCAGTAAACGCACACACCGTTGGTCAGTTTCGAACCATTTAAATGCGCAGTAGTCGAGATTAAACCACTCTGAGAGAATATTATAGCCAGAGACAATTCAGTCGAGTCCTAGTGCTAATTCTGCTAATATTACATAAGCTGCAGATTGATTGCAATGTTTTAAACGATTCAGATTAAAGGTTACACATTTTTAACAAAATTCTCGCTTGAGTGTCGAATACTTTTGCGAGTGACTGTATGTTCGAAGTTTCAAACGGCAACTTTTTGCATATGTATTATCGATTCTTATTGGGTAACAGAGGACATTTTACTGAAACATAATGAACACATTCATAAATTAGGTAGGCAAACTTTACGTGTTCACCTGTGTGTCGCATGTCAATAAATTAAACATTTACTGTATGCTACCAATCAAACGACGTATGCATGTGTTTACAATATCAACGAGGATGCTCTCTTACATTAGACGACTTCCAAATGTAAAGATCGTGCTTGAACCGAACATAATCGCAGTTCAAATGCTTGAAAGAGGATGAACACCTCTAGATGTTTTGCATGGTTCGTGTTCGCACAGAGCATGCTCGATGAATCGAGCGGTCGAACTGTATCGTATCGAGCAGGAAAGAGGGAGTCGTACGGGGAGGGGGTAAAAGGGAGTGGAGTGCGCGGTTGTCCGGGCGGCCATTGCGGGTACCTTGTCCGAAACCGCGAATGCAATTGACTGCTGTGCGTGACACTAGTGAAATCCAAGAAAATCAAAGGTCATCCCAGAAAGAAAGTGGTTTGTGTGAAGCCCGGGACGCGCACAAAACCCCGGCCCGATGGCTGAATCCGACAAATTGAATATCGACGACATTATAGCTCGACTCTTGGAAGGTAAAGTTCCTCTGCCCTGTTTGCCCTGTTTGACTTGGAATGGAGGGGGTGTGGTGGGAGGGAGACGAGGTGTATCATGGGACGAAACTGTCTCATCCGTCCGCCTCACCCTTTCTTACGCTTCTCTTTTCTTGCATCCTCGTATTTCGGTTGAAATCAATCGAACTGTTCCACTATTGACTGCTACAACCCGTTCTCTTGTCGAGGGTCTTCTATCAAGAATATTGTACCGCTTTACCTTTTATTCTACGTGATTTCTCTCTTTTTCCTTTTTCATTCTTTCCGTTGTGTCTTTACTTTTCTTCGCTCGATTACGCAATTCTCTCCAAATACAAGCAATTTGAAACACTTTAATCGACTTTACATCCGTTTGTTTACGAGAGACGATATTGCTGGGCGAGGCTCCTGTTATTGTCTCCAATGAACGTTCTTGCGATTTGCGTTTTTGCGTCGTAACTTTCATTGCTTCTATCTCATCACCATGTCGCCAATCACGCTTTTCAAACGCATTCAAATATACTAATGGACGAAGTTTATTCATTCGTTCCTTTGTCGGAGATCACTTACAATTCCGTTCCAATCGAAAACAATACAATGCCACTCACTGTAAGCGATCAAATAAATATAAGTCGAACTCAGGAAGCTTATCAACTTATTAGCTTCTAGAATATTGAATTCTATAGATATAGACCAAGAGATTATCCTTTTTTGGCCTTTTTTACATTAATCTTGTAGTGCGGGGAGCCAGACCTGGGAAGAATGTACAGTTGACGGAGGGAGAAATAAAGGGATTATGCCTGAAGTCACGTGAAATTTTTTTATCGCAACCAATTCTGTTAGAGCTAGAAGCTCCGCTTAAGATATGTGGTAAGCGATTGAACATACTTTTTTTGCAAAGTATGTATTGAAAAATTTGATTTTCCTATTTTAAATGTATTTCTTGTTTCTAAGGTGACATTCATGGTCAGTACTATGACTTGCTGCGGCTATTCGAATATGGCGGATTTCCACCGGAGAGCAACTATCTCTTCTTGGGAGACTACGTTGACAGAGGAAAGCAGTCTTTAGAGACAATTTGTCTTTTGCTCGCCTATAAAATCAAATACCCAGAGAATTTTTTTTTACTCCGTGGTAATCATGAGTGTGCATCCATTAACAGGATATATGGCTTTTACGACGAATGTAAGTAGTTTGATAAGTAATAGTTGATAAGTAGTAGATAATTAGATACCGAATCTGACATTGCTATATTGTTTTTATTAATACAATATAGGTAAACGCCGATACAACATTAAATTGTGGAAAACATTCACGGACTGTTTTAACTGTTTACCGGTTGCCGCAATTGTTGACGAGAAAATCTTTTGTTGTCACGGAGGTCTGAGCCCAGATCTTCAACATATGGAACAGATTAGACGTATCATGCGACCGACCGACGTACCCGATCAAGGTTTATTATGCGATTTGTTGTGGTCAGACCCTGACAAAGACACAATGGGTTGGGGAGAAAACGATCGTGGCGTCTCGTTCACATTTGGTGCCGAAGTTGTTGCCAAATTTTTACATAAGCACGACTTTGACCTGATATGTCGTGCTCATCAGGTATGCGTGCCAAAATCTACGCAGCATCGTTCAACGTAGAACGTTGTAGTAGATAGATTACAGGCAATATGTATCTCTAGGCGGATATAGAAAGAGATAATAGTTCTCGAGGTAATCTGCACTTTCATTTCAGGTTGTGGAAGACGGTTATGAATTCTTTGCGAAGAGGCAGTTGGTTACTTTGTTCTCGGCACCCAACTACTGCGGCGAATTCGACAATGCCGGAGCTATGATGTCCGTGGACGATACACTGATGTGCAGTTTCCAAATTTTGAAGCCAGCCGACAAAAAGAAATTAACTTACGGTGGCCTGAACGCAGGTAGACCAGTGACGCCTCCGCGAGGTGGAAATAACAAGAGCAAGAAGAAGTGAAATCCTTAGATTTCTTTTTCACCCCTGCCCCCCCCCCCTTCTTTGAACGCAATGCTTACAACTTTGAGACAACAATTCCTCCCTTGAAATTTACCATCTTTTCTAAATGGATCAATGGATTTTTGTACGAGGAAAAACGTTATTATTCTAATTTCTTTTTTAGCATCGCTCAATAATTGTCATCGTTATCAGCGTATTGCTTTCGAAGTTACAGTATATTTGAATAGCCGTTTCCATTTTAACGCATTAGCTAATGAAAAGAATAAATATGGCGAAAAGACACTGCTCGTTCAATAAAACGGAAAAATTGTGCATCGGTAGGGTAGTTCAAAGCAAACGACAAACGAAAAAAATCTAAAACCTTTGTGTCTATGAACAAAGAGCTAACCGCGCTTATAATCTCGATTACTCCCGATTAGATTAGCCGATGAAAAGTTGAACGATTGTTGGACGCGATTCTTCGAGAAGAGTACGTCACTATGATTAATAGCGAAAAGCTATTAGTTAACAGTTTCAATGGAATATCATCGATTCGAAATTCTAAGACGACACGGTCGATACATTATTACCAGGCACAATTCGATAACGATAGTGTTCGCTGGTGTGAGTTTACCGTTTTGATCGTACGTCAACGCGTATACAAACTATCGCTGTATACGCTTCGGTTATGAACGCGACAAGTGTTTTCGGTGCGATACGTAGTCACGGCTATATTACGTTTCCGTAAAATGCACAAAATTTATCGACGACACATAGTTAACAGCTACAGTTACAACTACATCCTTCTCGAACAAAACCGCTTTTGTAGAGTGTGCTTTTATAATTGAATTTTTATAAATTATAAGAAAAAGTATAGATATTGTGTTGTATGGTCGTTCAATTGAAACTAATCTATTTCGTGTAACATTGTTGCGAAGAATACATCAGAAATGGAAAGGGAAACAGTTAACGAAATAAAAAAGAAAGAAAAGCAAGGAAAGTGGACAGTGGTTGCGATCGTGGCCATTCCCTGGATTCGACGAAGGTGAAGGCGGTCGTTCACTTTTCAGAATGGAATTGTAATGATAACGTTAAACTAACGATAAGAGCATGATGTAAATGTGTATAATTGGAGTAGAACAACGTTGCGTAGATTATGTACAACGCACGCAGGCAGGCAGGCAGGCAGAAGCAAGGAGAAACATGGAAAAGAAACCCCAATTTCTAAGGATTCATCGTACAATTATTATCTATCCCGAGCTTCCCTCGGGAATAACTTGATTAATCTCATCGTTAACATTTATGCTGTATACTATTAATTTCGTTGGTTTCCTCGAGACGCTGTTTCATCCGCACCACCTTTATAGATCGCAGACCCAGTTTCCAACGATACCGCTAGAAATCGCGTACAAAGGGAATCTATCATCTTACGCCGTACCATTACATGTCGGCGCGATACCGATTACCTATACCGTCACCGAGATCGACGCCGGTGTAACCGGTATTTACGATTGCCTCTCCCCGTACCCGGAACCCTGTACCCTGTAATTGTACATTAATTTCTATTTTATAAATAAAATTCACGAAAGACACTCGTCCATTTTACTTTCATTTCTTTCTTTCGACACGAGTTTTCTGTTCACCGTCCGTTCTCGCGTCGCTTCATCGACATTGCGCGCAATATTTTCTACGTACACGAATGCGACGACTACAAATTACAAATACAAATCTGATCAAACGAATGACCGCGTTTCACGAAGGACCGTTTTGTGAAAAACGGCATTCCCATTTATTATTATCACGACACGTAACGAGGCTTCGTTTCGTGCACGCGCTCGCCCCGTTCCGTCATCAGTCTCTTCTCAATAATCGATTGGTCTGAATTTTCGAATCCGATCTATAACGAAGTTACTTCGGACTTTTACATTGATCACACGGTCAATAAGGTAGCGCTGTAGAATGCCGTTTTCGTTTTCTTATCGGAGCAATGAGAAATTACCATGTACAATATCGACTACGATTACTATTATTATTATTACTAGCAAATATTAACGATATCGAATCATATGAAGCCAATGTAAACACCATGTAAACATTTAGAGAAAAATACAATAACAGCGAGCCGTCAATGAAGCAGTCTTTTTTTTTAGCGTTATTTCATTATTTTGGTCGAGAACAAGTTGCCCTTGCACGCATCCGCGATCCGCTATCGAGAGTTCAACGAGGAAACGAAGCCACCTTATCGTGTGGAATAATTATGTAATCAATAATATTAATCGATTCAACTATATTCGATATAACTGACATGCAAGTTGATCCAATTCGACAAAAAGTATTCTGTAGCAACAATTTGTCATTCAGCAATAAGACTGTTTTCATGGTTACTATTTAGTGATAGATATTTTAGTGATAGACACACAAATATTAATTATTTTTGTTAGCATCGTACCGATGTAACAGTTATAGGCATAGAATCGGATCGATCAATTTTTTGAGATTCTTGCGCTGTGCACGAAAATTCCAGAGCACGGACATACATAAAATAATAGAAGAAACACATTGTTAAAAATACTATCCCGAATAGTTTGGGGGATAAATATGCCGAAAACATTCGAAGACAATAGCGCAAACGATATATGTACAATGTTCCTCGCTGCTATAAAAATATAAACGATGCCGCTCTCATATTTTAATTGGATATCTGTACTTTCCTAGTTTGTCTTTTATTTTGTATATTTTTAAATTTCTTTTGTAACTCCCTTCTACGCCAATAACCATGTATATTCCGAGCTGTTCCTGGAGATTACGAACCCCGGAGCAAATCCGGTCCTTACAAAAATATACCTAATTAAAAACAGATAACACTATCTCTGCAGCTGAACGTAACAATTACGCTAATCGATTTTTTACGAAATGTGCACGTAACTGACAATACACGCGGGACCCGATGCAAATGTCCCGTGTTTGCCTGGTGCTAAGGGCAGTTCTGGCTGTATCAATTATTCTGTTCGCGAATGTCGAGAAAATTGAAGAGCAAAAATGTGTACGGGAACGGACTATCTATCAATCGTGCTAATCGGAACACGATCCGGTTGTATTTGTTAACTTCGGGAGTTATATTCTCTCCGGGGAGAAAGGGGAAGGGTATTATTATAATTGGTATCGCCGCGAGGATAAAAAAAAAACGAAACTACCTGTATCAGAAACGTATCAGAAACAAAGCGTGATTCGGGTCGAAGGAAATAGGAAAAAGGAGGTTTAATTCGAAGGATGGTTGCAGGTATTAGTTTGTCCGATTCAATTCGGCGGGCGAAAATGGCAAACGAGTAACGAGCAAGAAACGGCCCGCAGGTTGCGAGCCGCTACAAACGACAAGCTAAGGGCAAGACCGAAAAGTAAAATACGAGATAGGGGACAGGAGACGGGAGAAGAAAGAAGCGAGGAGTATCGAGTATCGCGCACGCAACGCCAAAGCCAGCCGATGCCAAAGCGTTTGTTCCCGTTCGAGAAGACTCCGCCTTTTGGCACGGGACACGGAGGAAGAGGATGCGGTTAGCATCTTGTGAAGTCGAGCGTGGGTGTCGGTGTAGGAGGATCTTCGAGAAACCCCTCCTCCCTCGTCGAAAGTTTCCCTTCCTTTCGTTCCTCCACTCCTCGTTTCTCCCTTCGTTTCTCTCCTCGTTTCTCCGGCCGTTTCTCGGTCGGTTCACCTTGTCGAGAGAGAACATCGACGCGAAGACCGAGAGGAGGAGTTGATTCCCGTGGCAAGAGAGAGGGAGGCTGCCGCGGGAAGGAGGACGAGAGATACGGCATCGGAGAATGATGTCCCGATGATAAGCCACGAGGTGTAGTCGACTCGGGGGAGTTCTTTCCGATTCATCCGATGCCGCGCGTTCGAGTCGGGGACTTTAAGCCCTTGTCAGCGTCCGGACCTCGAGGTGAGGACAAGTTCTGTTGACGAGAACCGCGAGCGCCGCTAGAGCTGCGAGAGTCCGGTGACGATGTTCAGCATCTTCTGATATTCGTCCAGGATCGAGAATCTTGCATCTCGTGTCTCGTATCTCCCGCTGATTGCCCGGAACCGTTTAATGGCTCGCCGCGAATGATAACTGTTGTTCGCACCAACTTCTTCGCGCCGATTTCCTTTTCTTCTCCCATATCGTCTCCTCCTTTCTTTTTCCTCCTCCCTTTTCTTTTCTTTTCTTTTCCTTCCTTTCCCTTCCCTTTTCTCTTCACCGCACTCCCCCCTTCCCCTCCCTTCCCTTCCTATTCCTTTCCGTTTCTTCCCGTTTCGTTGCATCGTTTTCGTCGCCGAACCAATTTCCAAAAGTGTTGAGTGATTGTGCTTGAAGCGTGACATTGATTGTGCCGTTGCGACGGAACGCGTTCTCCAGTTTCACGGTGATCGATCTCTCCGCGTCACGATTCGAAGGCGACGCTGCACCGGTGGAAATCGATGCATTTTCTCGAAAAAGCGGCCGCGACACGGAGAATTCGCGCGACACGGTTCCGCCGCCGATAAGCGCAGCTTCGGCGACTTTCGTGGAGCAACCGTGCACAGCGGGAAACACCTTTTCGGCCGTCGATGCGATTCAACGTCGCCGAGGATGCAACAGCAACACGAATCGCGCGTCGACATCACCGTCGATTGTTGCTACCAGCAATGGAGCCCGCATCATCAGAATCCGCATGTTCAGCCGATCGCGAACATACCGTCCCCCATGCAGCAAATGGAAGGTACCCTTAAACACGTTTCTTTCCGACGCAATTGCCGAAACTTAGAAAAACGCGTTCACGATCGAGAAGCTCGCGCGCCGCGCGTTGCACGTTCGTCAAAACAATCTCGGAACGTTGTGTTAAAAATTCCGGCGACGGGACCGAACCGGATTGTTTCGAACGACGCGTTCGGACGCGTATCGCGCGAGGAACTTCTCGATCGTCCGGAAGGGAGAAAACGAAGAAAGGTTTTGCTGTGATTTTTCAGCGTGCTTGCAGACCGCGGGAAGGGTGAAACGATCACGCAGCCCAAATTCGAACTCGAACTCGAACTCGAATTCGGCCTCGTCGAAAAGCGCGCCAACTACGCGCGTTTCCGCGTCGTCGTCGGCGTCGTCGTCGATACCGTCGACGATACCGTCCTCGATACCCTCCTCGATACCGTCGTCGAGCTCCGCGGATGCCCGCAACGATAACAACAACAACAATCGCCAGCACGGCGATCATCATCCGAACGAGAGCGTGGCGAACGCGACGGACGAGCTTCCTCCGAAGAGGCCTCTTCATCCGGCTTTGGCCGGCGCCGGGGCCGCGCTCGAGGCGAAGCCGCTCTGGGAAGAGTTCCATCAGCTGGGCACGGAAATGATCGTGACCAAGGCCGGAAGAAGAATGTTTCCGACGTTTCAGGTAACCGAGGGGCCACTGGTCGCGCGTCCGCTGTCGACGGTCCATAAATATATAGCATCATACTCTGTTAGCCGTCGCATAACCGTTCAACCGTTCGATATTTCGCTTCGATCGATCCGCAGTGTCGATTCTTCGGGTTGGATCCGAACGCCGACTACCTGCTGGTGATGGATTTTGTGCCCTGCGACGACAAACGGTATCGATACGCGTTCCACAGCAGCGCCTGGGTAGTCGCCGGTCGCGCGGATCCAATTTCGCCCCCGAGGATTCACGTGCACCCCGACAGCCCGGCGAGCGGCACCCATTGGATGAAGCAGCCGGTCTCCTTCGACAAGCTGAAGCTGACGAACAATCAGCTGGACGACAACGGGCACGTAAGTTCGATCGTTCGGAACGTTCCCGTTCGAAGGCTCGCGAAGACAGCTCTCGCCAAACACGGCCGACAGCAGACGATGCTTTTCGCGCCGTTTGTTTACGGTTACGTTTCAACGCTTTTTCTTCCCATGAGATCTATTTCCGAGAAATACATACGCTCGACGGATACAGACGCCGCCGCGGATATTGGGCGCGGCGAGTCAAGATCGCCGATCCACAATTGCTTCCGAACGCGCAAGGGGGGAAAGAAAGCTGGAAAAAGGGGAACCACCTACGCGATAAAGTAGAGCCAGAGAGGATGACGCGTACACACGCTGTTCCGCGTCGCGTTCCACGTGTTTGTCGTTTACGGACGAGTTCGTCTTAATTGACCTGAGATACGAGCGTCTATCTTCTCCGAGAAATCCAAGACCGTCCATCCCCTAAGCCTCGCGGCGTTGCTTGTCCAAGGGAAACATTCTTTATTTCGGAATTTCACGGCTCTTGAACGCGTTGTTATCTTTAACCTTTTAGGTACGACGCGCCACTATAGTGGCTTTCGCGGATGTCATCTCTCTGAACGACGCGCCACTATAGTGGCTTTTACTCTAGTAGCTCGCTCGATCATCGTTTGAATCAAATAATCGTCTTCGTACGCATTGTTTCACACTTCTTTTGCCTTCACATCGATTTACGATATACAGACTTATCTTAACACATTAAAGGCGGGAGTCGTAGTACTACGATTTATCTCGACTTCTCATAAATATGTACTTTAAAACACTTTTTGTAATTAGTGTTTAGTTCTTTTTTAATATTTCTTTTAGTTTTAAGAGTTTAAAGAAACTTTTTTAAGTCTAAATTTTTTTATGATTACACAAAATATCGCCCGCTCTAGGACGAAAAACGAGGCGGGGCGGTCGCTGCGTTACCTAGCATACTTTCGTCAAGATCCCCCGCCTTTAATGTGTTAACAATATAGCTGTTAACAATATAACTGTATCTTAACGATATACGGACAGAATATACAGACACTCTGTACAGTACATATCAGACTCTGCCGTCCAGAGAAATCGCCTCGCGCAGAATTCAGCCGTGCCTAAAAGGTTAAACCGCGGCCGTTTCGAGAGACGCGCGACGCTTCGCCGCGGTTGCTATATTTTTTTTCTTCGATATCGATGATACCGATGTTCGCTGCCGAACCGCTCATTTCCGGCGGGCCGAGTCGTCGGAGATCAAACCGCGATCGCTGTTAACCCTTCGTCCGTGTACGCGAACATTTGTTATGTGTTCGCGCGTACAGCGTGCAGCGTATTGTGTATAGCGGCTCGTCTCGTATCGAACCGCCACTCCGCTTTGTGTATACACACCTTGGATCTTATCCTGTCCACGCTTTATTAATCCCACTTTCCTGTCGCCACGAGGAACGTCCGATAGAAACTACACCGAGCGTAATGCGACTAACGTAAACACGCGCGGTATAAAGTATAAACAGCCTTGTGGAAGCCTGGGAAAGATGACGGAAGGCTCGGACGATGTGTTTACGTTTTCCGAAAGAATTACCAGCACGAAAGAATTCTTCTCCGCCCGTTCCGATAGTTTCGACAGTTTCGATCGTGGCGAACTTCCTTGCCACCGATATCGCATTTGCGAATTCTTTTTTTCTTTCTTTTTTTTGTTCTAGAAGCTTCGCTTAGGAACCGTCGAATTCGTGTTTCGGCTGTGCCATTTCTTTTTTCTTTGTTTCTTTTTTTTTCTATAGTTTATTTCGTACGTCGAACTTGGCGAAACTTTTGATTTGGTTTCTCCTCATTGTGTCTTAATGCACCCGCGGTTGCTCCAAAAATAATCGTCCCTACGTGCTCGTGCCAAATTCAGCGCATCAGCCACCATTACGAATCGAAGGATTCGGCGTGTTGGGGCTTCACAACGTGCTACCAAAATCGGTCGTCACCGTACAATTTGTTTCGATCCGAAACGAAAGGGGTTCCGATGGATCGAACGGACAACCCGAGAATAGAAGGGTGGCCTCCCTCGACTACCCAGTTCCTCGTGTTGGCTCCCTCGCCTCAAGTGCTCTTCCATCCGTTCTCCGTTCTCCGCTCGGCGTTCTCCGTTTCTAGTGTTCAGTTCTCGTCAGGTTTCGATTTCTCCAAGCCTCGAGACCTTGCCACGACTCGTTTTGTTCGAATTAATTTTCATTCCGACTCCTTCGCACCCCGTTCCGTCATTTTCAAAATCGGAACAACCGTGTTTCCGCGCGACGATTTCGAGCATTTCCACAGACAAGTTCGACGCTCGATGGAATAACCGAGTTTTCGGATACACTGTTTCACGATAGACCCGAAAGCTTCCAACATAGTTTGCTTTTCAAGAACAGAGAGGCCAGACTCGTGTGCGGTACAGGCTTAGGTCCCGGTTGACAATCAATCTTTGCGTCTCAAGCAGAAAGAATGTTGACCAGTGGGACGTCGAGGTTGCTTCGCGTGCCGACGAGTAGTTTGTTCGTTTAATTGCTCCTTGTAGTCGTCCCCGCCTACCGGCCGGCTTTGTGAAAAAAAATCAATCGCTCTCGACGTTTCCAGCTTCTTAATTGGAGACTCGACACCGTCGCGCGTCGCGCGTCGGCGTCGGCGTCGGCGTCGGCGAAAGAACTCGGTTTCACCGGCCGTGAAACCCGGCAAATTTCGAATTCGAACGAGCCACCCATACATGACACGCTCGCTGTTTTCCGTCTACGTTAACGCCCCGTCGATGAATCGATCGTTTGTAACGGGAACGACGGAGGAAAATTGTGTGTCAAAGAATGTGAACGTCGGCTTCGACCACCCACACCCACACCCACATTCATAGAAAAACACAGGCGCGCGCGACCCTGTCTCTACGTTCCAAGGATGAGACGGAGTCTTCTTTTTCCAGCTTCACGTTCCCTTCGCCCCTCCCCCATTTACTGCTATTCGGTACTGTTCTGCTCTGTTCGCCAGCTCTCGTGCAGCTAAAGCGACACATGCTTCGGCCGGCATATGCTCGTAAGTGCGTGCAAGAGGAAGGACGAGGGTGTCGGGTTGCCAGAGAGGTTTGGGGGGTTAGTTTTTTATACTAATTAGTCACCGACTCTCTTCTGACTGTCAAACATTGTGACCGCCCCCCCGCGGTGACTCTTCCGTCGATACGAGGAAGGCCCCGGTCCTCTCTTCGCGTGTATCTTCTCATTTTATTCCCCTTCCGCTCGCGCTTCAACTTTCCTTCCTTTCCCTTTTTCTCTTTCCTTTCATTTATTTTTCCACTTCCTTTCTCTTTAGTTCATTCTGATGGCTCGCGTATCTTGTTTCCAGGAGTTTCGTTATTTTATCGCAAACTGCGACGCGCGTTTCGATTAGTACGCGACAGGGCAGTGGAGCCGGTTACCGTGGGGTGGCCAATTGCTGTGCTTTCGGTTCGTCTTCGGGCATAATGAGTTTTATCGAATAAGGCATATCACATTGTCTTATCAAAATTTTATTAAATATTTCCAAATTCGGTGATCGCAACATTTTAAGATTGGCTGACCCTCCAACCCCGCTAAACTCCGCACCCTGGATCAAAACTATAGATTCAACAGTCAACAGTAAAATTTACCAAGTGAATTGGAAGTAATCTACATATGAGCCGTTTATTTTGAAAGTGGCATAAGTCATTTTGTTTTTAAATCGATATATTTAAGGGTTTGCGTTTTAACACGTTTAAAAATATGGATGCTAACTTTCGAGAAGATTTACTTGTATTTGTTATCTCAGAATACTGATATTTTTCTCAGTATAAATAATTTCGTATGAACATTAAAAAATCACCACTTTTCATTACGGTAAAGTGACTTATGCCACTTTCAAAATAAATGGCTCATGTACTACACTCTATGTCATTAATCACGTCAACAGAATCGCTCATAGTTCCCTTTGGGAATAAATCGCAATTAAACGCAACAATTAAAAAAAATGTAAAGGAATAAAGCACAAAATAGAAGAACAAAGACATTTTTATTATACAAAATAAACAAAATAAAAGAACCAAAAATTGTAATATGTCCTATTCGACGAATACGAAATGAATTATGCCTGAAAAGAGAGCAAAGGAACAGCAATCGGGTTACCCGACGGTTCGCGACTGAGCTACCCTATCTGCAGCCATTTACCGGTAACTGGTTCTACCTCGCGTTTCAGATAATCTTGAATTCCATGCACCGGTATCAACCCCGTTGCCACGTGGTCGTCGCACCGTCGCCGCCTGGTTCCGGTCCGGATCCACGCACGGAGAACTTCAAAACGTTCGTTTTCCCGGAAACAAGATTCACGGCGGTGACCGCTTATCAAAATCATCTGATCACGCAGCTAAAGATCGCCAGTAACCCGTTCGCGAAAGGATTTCGCGACTGCGAGTCGGACGAATGCGACTCGGTCGCCCTGTCCAGCGCACAGAATCCCGCGAAGCGGCCAGCCACCGGGACCAACAGCGGCCTGTCCTCCAGCTTCGTCAACTCTATACCAACCGTACAAATACCGAGCATATCCAGCCAAGAGCACCATCAATTTTACGGATCCACCACGACAGGAGCATGGACCTATTCGACGCATCACGGCCAGCCGACCGCGCACGTCAATTCCGTTCATTACCCGGCGCATCCGCACCATCCGCACCAGCATCCGCACTCTCATCCTCATCCTCATGCCCACGCTCATCCCCACCCTCATCCCCATACGCATCCGCATCCTCATACTCATCCCCATTCGCATCCGCATCCCCATGCCCATCCCCATCCGCATCCTCATCCGCACCCTCATTCGCATCCTCATCCCCATCCCCATAGTTCGGGAGCATCCCTGTACGGGCCGCGATAACCGTTAAACCTTTTATTTAATCGGTGTCGAAAGTGCCGATATCAAGCGAATGCCGGAAGAGGATGGAATTCCGAAGTGTTTCGCGAAACTATACCAAAGAGAGCGTCGTCGGCGGTACGATTTTACCATGTAACGTACATCGTGGAGTCGACCAAATTGTATTTGTATTTATCGTTGGATATCGCGGCAAGACCGAACAATGGAGAACCGAAAAGGAACGAAGAAGCATCGGGATGTAGACGAACAAAAAAAAGAAAATATAGGATAGACGTAACGCGAGACAATCGTTTCGTAACGTTGATTGCGTCGTTCGCGACGCAAGTACCGTTCGGCGAATCGTTCGCCGCGTTCGAAGACGCGATGTATTATTTATTCGAAACCACACGTGTATGTGTACGCTTATTTTTGATAAATTGCCGTAAACCCAGCCGAAAGTGGGTTCGGCGGCAACGGCAGAAACGCTCTGTCGTGTTTATCGAAGATAATTTTCCAAAGGTTAATTAGCGAGTGATCTCGCACACAAAGTGCAATAGAGACAGACGACCGCGTAGTTCGCGATCGTTCGAGTTGCATGATACAAATCGCGGCGGTACGTGTCGTAGGTCCGTGGCTCGTCGGTCGAAAAAGAAAGTGCCTTTTGTAGGAGCAAAGTGCATCTATTTATACAGGGTGTCTGAAATGCCAAACGAGCCTAAAACGCTCTCGAGCCAACTCGGGAAAGTAAACGCACCGTGACAACCCATAAGAGAGCTTGGCTACTAAGTGCCTTAATAAATTATTCTCCGAGTATCGTGTGCCATTGCGTCTCGAAATTTCTTTTTCCCAGCGAAACCTACTTCTAAACCACTTGTCCTCCCCCCTCGCGCCCTCCACGCCCTTCACCACCGTTCTCTGTTTCTCTTTCAAAACCGCTGACATCGCGAGTTTAACCCAGCGGAGAAGAGCCTAGACTATCGAGACCGTTCGTGTTACACAAATTGTCGCATCCGAGTCTATTGTGTGTCTGCTCGAACGAATACAACTGGCGGACCGGTGAAAAAAATACGAGCATGCCACGCGCGTACGTATACATACATGTACGTACGTCGTATGCGCATACGTTGGTACCGGCACCGCCGTGTCACCACGTATTTCGTTTTGGACGGTTTCTCGCGAGGCCTCTGCAGGCCTACGGTAACGATTTCCCAACGGCAATCGTTAAACGACGCCACTTGGTGCAGCATTTGTAACGTTCGGAACGACGAGGTAATGCCAACGAAGCGACACGGGTCTCGGAAGATTTCGCGGGACTGGACGCGACCTAACGAGACAAGACCAGACGAAACGAGACGAGACCAGACGAGACACGACTCCGTCGGTGGGTGCGCGTACCAGAAACGGATGAACCGACGTGGCTCGTGATTGATGGCCACGCGAAGATCCCGTTGTGTAAACATATTATGAACGTACCCTTAATGACTCTCGGTGAAGATTTTCTTGCAGAGAACGCTCAGAAAACGTTTCGCAGACGTTCGTGGGATCCAACTGTTGCGCGTTGCCGCAAAAAAAAAAGAAAAAAGAAAAAACAGAAACAACGAGAAATAATTGTACATCGGATTGCCGGCTGTTCCAGCATTAGTTCGGCGCGCGGTCGTCTCTCGAAGGGAATCGGGACGAGTACAGGTTTCTCTTAAGGGAAAATGTCGGATGAATCCGTTGAGAGATATAATAGTGCGGTAATCGGTTGGATGTTCGCGTGTGGCGCGGGCGCGAGACGCGCGAGATAAATACAGTTTTTAAGCGGGCGGGGTGTCCCCGCGGACTATCGCGGACAGAAACAATGTTCACGGAAAAAAGGAATGTTGCGTTTCGGAGGAACCGAGTACAGAGCGGTGGGACCTTGTGCATCGGTGACGCGTGACGGCGCCGGCAATAAAAACGCTCGGCGGCCCTCCTCTTTGCTTGTTCTTTCGACTTTCGTCTTTCATCTTTCGCGTAGGTGCCAGCGAAACTTGTGCGACTCGCACCCGCGAAACTTGACCTTTGAACCGGGTTAGGTGTCTCGGAGTCAGCGCCGCTGGTGGCACATAGTTCTGTTCGCGCGAATCGTCTCGTCTTGTCTCTGGGAACTCGCCGATGCTTTTTGACGTGCTCGGGAACCGCGGCTTCTCGATAACCGGCGAAACGGAGACAGTTTGTTTCTCGCGGGACAACTTTCCGAGGACACGTACATTCCGTCGGGCGATAAACAAGCCCGCGTGTCGAACAAAATTCTCGTAAACTGTGTTAATATTTTTATATTAGGTTGACAAGGATGAAATTTGTAGTTAATAATATTGCCAACTTCAACAATTTATTATTTGACATTGGCTTAATATTTTACCGTTCTGTTTTTTTTTATTGGAAAGTTACAAATCTCGTTTGTTTAAAGAAATTATTTTAAGCTCTAAGAAATATTGAAAACTTTTTTAAGAATTAATTTTGTTGAAAATGGAACGGTCGAAAATTCGCACTATTATGAAGTATGAGTTCTTACGTGGAACCACGAAATAGACGCGTGAAACATTAATAGTGTATTTGGCTCTAGTGTAACTAAACAGCAGACAGTATCAAATTGGTTCGCCAAATTTCGTACAGGTTATTTTGACCTCAACAATGAGCCACGCGTTTGCTCAGAATCAAAGGTTATCACGCCTGTCTAGCACAGGTGAGATCCGTTATGATTTTATGAAACCTGGCTCACCGATCACAGCAGAAATATACTGCAACCAACTGGACGAAATGATGCAAAAACTTAAAAAAAAACAGCCTAGCTTGGTCAACAAATCGACTCCCATCTTATTGCATGATAACGTTAGATC